TAAGAAGACCATAGTTTTATGACTGTTTAAAAATCAATATAGACGTAAAAGTGCGCCTTTTCATTTCTTCTGCTGTTTCTAAGCAGAAGGGTAGGCTGTAGTCATGGTTCCACACCGTAACGTTCTCCCGTTCCCTTCAAGCATGTTGACCTTTAAGTCGCAATTCATAGTATTGTAAAATTACGCTGCGCGGCGGGCCTGCGGGCCTTCGAAATTTGCTTCTTAGGCATCAGGACAAAACGTTACGGTGGAGGGTGAAGCACCGTAACGATCCTCTCTTCTGCTTAGAAAACAATAAAATAAAAGGCAAGTGCAGTTTTCAGCTTTAATTAATTTCTGCAGTCATCAAACTGGTGGTGCTTGCCATGGCTTCACAGTACCTTTCACTTGAAGCGGTAAGGGTGACACAGGACTGAAACTTAAAAATTTGGGCAAAAAAACAGCTACTTCAAGTTTAAAATAGAGGTGCGCATTAAATAAAAAAAACGCTCTCCAAAACAATTCAAGTTATATCATTGCGGTTCTTTTAAGGGGGGAGTATACTGAAAAAATTGATAAATCACCTAATTTAATGAATTAATCAAGTTAAAATCCAAACAAGAGATAAAATCAGAAAAGTACTCTATAATTGTTGTGGTATGCACTCTGAGGATTAATTTAAGGTATAGAAAGAATGCCAAAAGTCTACCAAAAAACTGTGCGCACAGAAGTTTTCAAAGTTATGTAACTGTTAAGTTTAAGTTAAAAAAGTTCTATGCGCAAAGGTCTTTTGATGGATTTGGTCATGCTATAGCTTAAATGAGTTTTTAAAGTGAGTACTACTACTATTACTAGCTACATGTACGCCAGACCACGTCTCGCGTAACAGGCTTCGCGATATCTCACGAAAAACTGTTACGCTGCGACGCGCCTGGCGCACATATGGCTAGGTCTGCGGCGCTGACACCCGAGACGAGTGAATAGGAATGTACACACAATTTTTTGATATCAAGCCTTTTCTACGGTTTAATAGACTATTTGGTCATTTTCACCACATTTTTGTCCAGAGATGCCCCCTTGCACCCAAACGGTACAATATAGAGCAAAACGCACGAAATTTGCGTCCGACAAGGGTACTACTCTCACGAGTTACCCCTTAGAAGCCCATAAAAACATATTTGAAAAAAATAAATATTTTGCAACCTTTGGTTTTTGATTTGTTTAAAAGTCAATTTTTGCGCTAGAATGCTCATCTTCGAACTTGATCTGTCTTTTTGTGGTACAAAACGACCGTGAAATTCCCAGATCGCTATCTCAATTCGTTCTCGAGTTATCGTGCGGACAGAGAGACAGACAATCAAACCGACCCTCCCTACGCACAAGCGGCTATCTTTTTGACCGTGGCAGACAAAGGGCTATCTTTTTGAGCGTGGCAGACAAACGGCTATCTGCTTTTCTTTGAGGTTAGGGTTGTCCAC